GACTCAGACAAGAGGTTGCAGGTTTCACAGCGAGGTGACAGGACAGTAGATTCAGAGGCACGCCCTTGCTCCCCCTCCTCCCTGCCGGTGGGACACTGGTTTTCATTACGGGGAAATTGGAAACCTTTAAGAGAGGACCCTCTACGGCGAGAGAGTGTGTTCTAACACATCTGGCAAAGGCAGTGCTGGCCCAACAGCTGCAAAGCCACAAACAGCCATTTACTCTTCTCTTCCCTCCAGAAGGAACATCAAAGGGATCGAACACCCATCAGGAGACACGTTAGGGGCTGGTCTAAACTTATGATCCACCAAGGAGCTTTTAAGATGCCTTTCTTAGCCACCTGAGACCTTCACGTGGGAATCGCCCTCGGGGCCACCTGCCTCTGGCCAATGCCGGGCCGTTTATCATCTCCGTCTGGGTGACCAAATGTCTCCTGGCAGAAGGGAAAGGTCAAGGAGAGGAAACAATGATCTGGGCGCCCGGAGGCGGGGGTGGGGCAGAACCAGCCTGTGGAGGGAACCCAGGGAGGGAACCCCAGGGACACAGGTGCTGGGAGCAGGGTCCCACCCTGTAGGCAGACAGGGCAGGCCAGAGAAGCCAAGGCCTGCAGTGAAGCCTGCTCCTGGTCCCTTGGTGGAGAGAGGGAGGGAGCTGAAACTCAGCCACAGATGGAGGTTTTTTTCCTCCTGTCCTCTCTCTTCCAGATGTGAGGGCTCTGGCAGAAAAAGCACAGAGCTGGGGGCGGATGCCCCCAGACAAGCACGCATCTTCTTGCAGCCTACCCACCTGGCACTGGGCACTTGCCATGGAAGGCTGGTATCCTATGCCAGAGCTCTCTGGGGCTTGAAGAGCCGCCGATTTCTGTGCCTTCCCCTGTCCTGCACACAGCTGGTGCTCCATAACTGCTCACTGGTGGTTGGGAACTGAATTCCAGCCCCTGCTGGATCTCTACCTGGGGGGGGGCCTTTCACCTTTATACAGGAACCATCTAATCTCTTGGTCTCTTGGGACGTTTTCTCATCTCGTCTGCCCTGCCTCCCTCACAGAGCAGTGGCCCAGAGAGAACCAAGCACAGTGCCCGGCACACAGCAGGCTGCCCCACCCCCCACCTCCAAATGCCTGCTGAATAAATGAGGTGACAGGAAGCTCTGTGAAGCAGGGAAAGGCCCCCGTGCTCGCCAGGCCTCCCTCACTTTCGCCGGTATCTGCTCTCACTCACCAAACCGCTTTCGGGTCCACCAGTGGGGCTCCTTGATGGCGGAGAACTTCACCTCGGGGTGCAGCCGCAGGCGGTCATAGAGGTCGGTGGTGCCGCACTTGGGCTGCCCGATGATGTAGAAGTGGGGCAGGCAACGCAGGCGGAAGTGTTTGCCGTTGGTGTGTGACAGCTGGCCCCAGAAGGCCTTGCGAAGGGCGTCGAAGGTAGAGCGGAACCTTCTGGAGTAGAGCACGTAGGAGTTGGTCAGGTAGGGATCAGTGGTGTTCTTGCCCACGAACTCCTCATACCAGCAAGGGCTCTTACTATTCGGAAGAAATTTACTGGGGATTACTGAGAACATCTGCAATAAAAAAGAGAGAGAGTCACCAAAGAGTCACCAACAGAAAAAAATTAGCAAACACATTCTAACCACAATATGACCGTGTCCTAAAATTTATCACAATGTTCAAAGTATCATTTGATAAAGATTAAATACTAAATAAAGCAAAAACACGCAGGGACTCTTCCCTTTTCTCAAAATAAAAATAAAATTTGAAGA